TACGGTTGTTGCTGTTGTGAAAGATTTTCTCCATTGCGATTTTGATACGGTTGATGTTGTTGAAGATTTAAACCATAGAGATTTTGATACGGTTCTTGTTGTAAAGGATTTTGTCCATAGGGATTTTGATACGGTTGTTGCTGTTGTGAAAGATTTTCTCCATTGCGATTTTGATACGGTTGATGTTGTTGAAGATTTAAACCATAGAGATTTTGATACGGTTCTTGTTGTAAAGGATTTTGTCCATAGGAATTTTGATATTGCTGTTGTGATCGATAACCACCTAAGAATCAAAAAGATTGTATTTTGAACAAATATTTAAAAATATTTACCTTGGGGTGGTGCATAGAAACTAGGAGGTTGATATAGATTTTGAAAACCGGTGTTACCTGAAACAGAAATTTTATTTAGGTTTTCTTTTTTTAGCAAAAAAAAGGTTCGTAATTTTTTGATTGAATAAAAAAAAGCTGTTAGTGGAATCCCTCCCGGATTAAAATATGAAACACGATGTAGCTGTTGTTACTACACTCTAAAAAAAAAGATTTTTTACCGAACCCGCGAAAAAGGTTTCGTAGATTTGAAAAGCTTGCAAATGCATTCACATTCTCAAAAAACGATTTTTCAGTTCTACGAAACCTTTAAAGGTTCTTCCCCTGGACACATGGGAAGAACCTTTTTCCTGCAAAACCTTTTTTAATTTCCGTACAGCAAAAATAGGTTTTGTAAAAAAAATAGGAAACCTTTAAAGTTTCATATTCAATTTTATTGGTTTAGTGCGAAACCATTAGTGTTTAGTAAAAAGCCGTGAGAATTTAACACGAAATCTTAAAAGTTTCGTATTTTTTTTACAAAACCTATTTTTGCTGTACGGAACTTGAAAAAGGTTTTGCAAGAGAAAGGTTCTTCCCATGTGTCCAGGGGAAGAATTTTAAAAGGTTTCGTACAACTGAAAAATCGTTTTTTGAGCATTTGAATGGATTTGCAAGCTTTTCCAAATCTACGAAACCTTTTTCGCGGGTTCGGTAAAATACCTTTTTTTAGAGTGTAGTCACACGAATATTGTTTTCTTCGATATGCCTTCGGACCTTTCATGAATCATTTTTTACCAATTTGTCTAGATCTGCAAAAAGGAAGCAGTTGGCATATTCTCATGAGGTTCTAGCCGCATTTGATCGTAATTCGAGTAAAAAAAGGTCTCTCACTGTCTGTGATGGGTATGGGATTTCTGTGTCACGATCTGTGATGGGTATGGGATTTCTGTGTCACGATCTGTGATGAATATCGAATTTCTCTGTCAGTCTGTCGGGAGGGACGGAGAAGTGGAAACTTCTATCATATGTACTTCAACACTCCTTTCAGATTGTGTTTCAAAAAGACGTTTATGTTGTAGATGTAGAAATCATTGTGCGTATTGTTAGAATAAAGTCAGACGGGTGTGGATGTGAGGTGGGTAGGGGTGGGGGTGGGAGTGTGAGTCTGGGTGTGGACATGGCTATAGGTCTGGATCTGGATCTGGGCCTGGGTCTGGGTATGATTGTGGGTGTGAAGTGGGGATGTGGCTGTGTGTGTGTGCCTATCTTGAGTCCCCCCACACCCACACTAGGAAAAATTATGATTGTATAAGGACAACACTTTTAAGATCGATAAAGTAACATTTCAAAGTATTTTGCTTGTCTTTCGCTTTTTCTTCGTCAATAAACTAAACATTTGATTCGAACGAAGCTAGTTGATATTTTGTCTGAACGAGAAGTTATTTATGAATCTTCACCTCAGTTTTCGACAGTTTCACTTTTGACCAAAGTTCAGAGAATCGAGAGAGACTTTAGTTACATTTTAAGGCTCTAACTATCGCATAAGCCATAAGATCACAGTATTTGCAAAATATTTTCAAGTTCACTAAAGATTGACAAAGATAGTAATACTCGCTTGTTTACGTGAGGCCGCTATGGCTGAATGGTTAAGATGTTTGACATATATCCACAAGATACAGTGTTCGAACCTCGACTCCATCGGTCATAGAATGACCTTGAACAACTCACTAACGGCTGTTTTGTCTCGAACCACTCATCCGATAACAAATTGACTACGTTGTTGACATACGCTAAATAGTCCTTGCGACTAGTATGTGGTTAGTCAGTACGTGTGGGGAGCTTAAGAAATTAAGGGAGAAGATCTCTGAGTCAGACCGGCCTTCTGCCCAGAGCTAAATTTAGTAATAGATGTAGGAAAATATTGGGCTTCTCGAAACTGTCCTCGGATAGCACCCTATACCGGAAGGCAGCCGAAAGGCGGGGTATTCTTCTTCTTCTTCTTCTTGTTTACGTGAGAAATTAAAAGAATAGTTGTGAATTAGATTAGCAGAAAAACTTCATATATTCTAAAATAGCTCGACTTATTGCAGAAAATAATCAGGCTTTTGGTAATTTCACTCGTTATCTCATTGGTGAAATAGCTCCATTACATGAACTCCTCACAAAATTCAAGAAAAGTATCGAACACATATTCCGAAATTAACGAAAAAAGTCTACAAACCCTCCAAATTTGGAGATAATAGAGCTTTAATGGTATACCCAGAATGAAAGAAGTATGTGGTCTAACCCTCCCAAATCTTTGCAAAATATAATCCTGAATTCCTCAAACGCTGGAGAAAGTTCACCAGAAATTTTCTCCAAAGCAAGAGAAGCCAGTCGTCAAAGCTTTCAAAAACAGGAGGGGACACCGCAGCAAGCTTCACCTCCTTCTCTAGTCACGTTGCCCCTGATCGGTTGATTGAAAAAGTAAACGTGAGAAGCATAAAATCATACCTGATGTCATTGTTGGCATATTAACTGAAACGTTTATGGCAGTTTTCGTTGGTGTCCCCATTGTTGATATCGATGGGGACAATGTACCTGATTTAGGAACAACAGAAGAAGATTTTTGTTCGTCCACTTTAGAAAATGGTGGTTTAACAAGTGCAATTGGTGGTGTAATTTCTCTTAACTGAATAATATGAAGTTCAGGTGCTGGATTTAATTGGCCGATGACTTCGAAATATGAACCTGGCATAAGAATAATTTCTTGTTCAGTATTTTTGAAATATGAATGTGCGGCAATAGATTTTCCGTGAATATATTCAATTGAAAAGAGAGTACGTGTTGCATGTTTACCCAAAAATTGCTCTGATTCGAGCAATCCAATATCAACAGTACATGAACTTACTCCCCACCAAGCAAATGTTGTACCCTTTTTGTATTTCGAACTTAAATCAACATCTCGAACGCCACGCCATACTATTCCACTCCGTGATGGTAATTTATGTAAAGCAGTGAGAAATAATTTAAGAAATGAGAACCATGGTCGCAATTCTTCACGATTCTCGGCACGTAATGATTTATTAAGTAATAAATACAAGCTTGGACCGCCACTAAATTGCATTGTATATAGATGTATAGAAGCTGATTCTTGTTGGTCTAATCCATCAGCTGGATTTTGACAATTATGCAATGCAACAAAGACATCGTCTTCAATTCCATTGAAAAATCCAGCAACTGGTTCAATGGCTTCAGGTAGTGAAACAAGTGGTTTATCTTGATAGCCTTTTATGGGTGATAAAAGATGGTCTACAGGTTCATTGTAAAGATCAGTAAAACGAGACTTGTCACCAGATTGCATTGCCGTGGTTATGTCATATATTTCAATCTACAACAACAATAAAATAAGCGTTGAAAATCTAAAAAAGATGAAATAATCGAATCACTGTTGTTTTCATTATCATCTTAAATAATATAAGAACATAATAATGAATTAACAAGCAAAAAAGCATACAGTTGCATATTTTAACCTACGTGGCATACTTCAGAATGGAAAGGGTGTAGGTGTGTGGGTCTTGGCGGATGTGTGTGAATACAAGATCAACACTCTTACTCAGCTCCATATGCACACCAACAGTCAGACCCACATACACACCAACAATCAGACCAACTCCCACACCGACCCATACCCACAGGGTGTGGGTGTGAGTGTGGGGATGGGGGTTGCGGGTGCTGTTACAGAGACATTGGAGTTCTATTAATGCCACGGGTAGATGCACACTACTGTTTTTGAGCTGAATAAAATGCTAAGAGTCATCGTGCAAAGGGATGAAATCATGTAAGTCTAGAAAAATTAGAAATGTTTTAAAGTGGTAGGATTAGTTCATCTGGTTTAAGCGCGTTTTTGCTAATCTTGTTTGACCATGGCCTGAATGTGCAGTACTGGACTTGAATAATAATAATCTGTTCCACGAGAACGTGTGGACTAAAAAAGGTTCTATTTCGAATAGGACAGAATGTTCTTCAGAAAACCTTAGCATTTCATAAACTATGAAATCATTCTATGGAGCAATAACAGCAGGTGAAAAGTGATAGAAATTGGTACTCACCGTATTGACAGCAGATTAGAGTTGATGAAATGTTTTCAAGGAGACTGGGCGATGTTTGTCCTTTACTGTGTTTTTAACGAGAGAAATAAAAAAGAATCCTACAGAAAAAAAAAACTTTCCTGCAACGGACAAACGACAATAATCAGTTTGTGTAAATAAAGCGAGCGCAAAAATTGTAATAGTAATATGCAAAAGAAAGTAAACAGTGAATGAGTGGTGCCGCTAATACACGTGCAGCCCTTTTTGCCCAACTTGATCGAAAGTGAAAGAATGCTGCGTTTCATTTTAATTTCTTCGAGCAAACAAAGAAAGAAAAAAACCTGCCTTCTAACGTGACTACTCGAAAAAGTATGCCCCCTCATACATTCTCTGAAACAGAAAATGAGATTGAAGATCCTTCAGCGATGACTGCAAAGACATCGAGTAGAGCATCAAAGTGTGTGAGTGTGGGTGTGGGTGTGGGTGTGGGTGTGGGTGTGGGTGTGGGTGTGGGTGTGGGTGTGGGTGTGGGGTGTGGGTGTGGGTGTGGGTGCGGGTGTGGGTGTGGGTGTGGATGTGGGTATGGT